ACACAAGAAAACCTTAAAAATCTACATACCATAGTATACTCATGGCCACAAAAAATACGCGTATCATCTGGCAGTGACATAATTTTCCTTAGTGACGAATGCATCTGCAATCAGAGTATCAAAGCACTACAATGTCATAACCATGGAGATATAGAATTTTTATTTTCTTTTTTTTTTTGGGAGGGGGGGAGGGGGAGGGAAAACATGTCTTTCTTTTCTTTTTAGAGAAAAGTAACTATGTTAAATTTTACACCTCAAAATCATAGTAATATAACTCATTTGCATGATTAAAATGAAGGCCCATAGTTGAGATATGGTACAGCTCCAAAAAGAAGATCTATTAAGGTAGTTTTCAAGAGATCCATGTACACTTGACTGCTTATGGGATGGACAACAAGCTTTTCTCTTTCAAATTTGAAATTCACTCCCATCCATATAACTCAAACTACATAAGCTGGAGCAAAAGAGGACCTGCTCTGGGCTCCCTTCAAAGAGCTTGCCACATGATAAGCTAAATAAAGTGTCACCTGTGAATATTGCTTTCGACCCTGGAAAATAGAAGCTCCCATGGCCTGCTCAAAATTTGATCCCAAGAAAGCTAATATTAACGCAATAGTCATTAGCAATATGAGCACTATACTAGTCGTTGCATCAAAAATTAAGATGGAGGAACACAATGATTTTAGAAAAAACGAACCAAATATGCAACAATAGGGTGGAGTACAAGCCACAGGTTTTTACTCAAAAAGTTCCATGTTTCTCAACTACTACATGTCAACTCATGTAAATACTGTAGATTAGGGCCATGCTATCAGTTATAAACCTTGATAACTTGCTAAACATATCTTCAAATAGTCTATGACCCTGAAAACAATAAAATCTCGTATATAAATTTTTCTCTCCAAAAAAATTAGCATGTAAGAGTATTGGGAAAATATAAAACGATAACAAGCTCTTGAATCTGCACCTCTTGTATGACCAGGAGTTTCCATTACAAGCATCTCATGCTCAGCAAACATCCACTTGTCACCATCAAATAATTCTATATCAATGCCAGGAATTCGATGTTTGTCATTGCCCATGCCAATTACCTTCATGTGATAGAAATTTTTTCAAACTGAACAGTGGAATCTAGAAAAGAGGAACCCCCATGTATTTAAGCTTTATAAATATGCAAAAGCTCCAAAGAAAACCTCATCCATACCTTTGCACCATACCTTGCTTTCAGCTCCATATTCCCACCAGTGTGATCATAATGATGATGGGTGTTCAGTATATATTTGAGATTGTAATTTTTCTTATTCAGGGTATCAATTACAGGTTCATGCTCAGAAGGGTCTATAACTCCAACAATTCCTGTATTCAAATCATGCAATAGGTATGCATAATTGTCCTTGAGGCATGGCACCTGACACATCAAGCACTAGAAATGAAGATGATGACAGGGATTAACCAGAGATGAAGTAAGACTGATAGATACTCTATCAGGCTAATACATGCCATTAGTCTCTATCAGGCTAATACATGCAATTAGTCATAGATATGCAAGAGGAAAATGAGAAATCTTCGATGTCATGTGGAGCTATTACTTAATTGGATAACCACCATTCTCACACATCAATATGCACAAATATCAGAAACAAAATGACATCATGTTAGTAAAATATTCAAAGCTCATTCCCATTTTACAGGAACATTGTGAAAAATAGATTGAATGCAAATCTACTACTTTACAAACCAGGTGTGAACAAAATATTAAAATCTATGGGTATATTCATACATGCAAGCATGCCAACAAAACATAGGTTGTTGTCTAAGTAAATCAAATCAATAGGCTACAAGGATTTGATATAACATTTTATCACTGAATATTCCCAAATTAACTACAAGGAAAGAAAAAGGACGTCAGTAAGCAAGGTTAATTGTTACCAGCTCAATTTGCAATGGGGACTCTGTTTGAGGGATACTGGAGTAAGATTGTTTAATTAAAATTGAACCTCTAAGTCCCTGTGGTGATTTTGAAGGTCTAACATGAAAGGTCCTAAAGCTGAAGGAGAACTTCTTCCCAAGAATTAATCTTCTTCCGCATCTCCAACTGCAAACGAAGCGTCTTACCTGAAAACAAGAAATGACAGTTCATTAGAAGTTACCACAAGACAACAAGGGAATAATTAATATACAATCATTGCTTCACATACGCACACAAAACAAACAAAATTTTGTGAATTTCCTCACTAATACAAAGACACTAAAACAAAGAAACATAAATACCCATAGTTTATTTCCGTTATGTACAGAAAGAATTGTCTATTTTGATAAGTAAACAAAGACACATCGATGTTATAAGCTCATTAATACCAAATCAATATGCACCAAAAATCGGACAGGAAAATAATTGGTGGCCAACTAAAGCAAACAAAAATATAGATACATCTATTAATATCAAGAAATTTGAGCAATTAGGATACGCTCTAAACTCCAAGACTATCTCACATACAGTAATCTCTCTAGAACATGATCGAATACCAATACAGAGATAAACCGATAAGAATGAGGATGGCAAGTTAATAAATGGTGAGAGAAAATATGCCTTGCTAGTACAAGTATGAGCTCTGAAGCCTCCTATTTATTTTTTGTCGCAAAATTCTTCGACCAAGATGTTCATTTTAAGGGGAATGTATTTCAATCCACACATCTATGGTATATTCGCATACAAATACATACATATTATCTACCAATCAAAAAGAAAGAAAACATACATATAATCTGTATGTACCTATATATAGTTGTTTTAATGGACATTTATAAACGTATAATTGTATACACAGAAAAAAAAGGAGGGAGAAACTAGGATACATCTACAAATTGCTTATGAAGATGACGGATACAACTTATTGGGTACACTGGAGCTTAATTAGGCACTTAGATTTAAAAAATACAGCTCCCCATTTTGGCCATGCTTGTTCCACCATTCATGAAAAAATTCATATCACAAAAGAAAATTAACCAATGACTATGAGAAACCAAAGTTCAGTGGAGGCAGATAATTAAGGGAACTTGCTCCAGGTGATTAGACAGAGTTTCAGGCTAATCCATTGAATCCTCGACACCAATGAATTATTTCCCTTAGATATAATCGAATTTAAAAGGTGTTCTGATCGTTGGTGAGAAATATAAGAATACTATAGAGAGAGAGAGAGAGAGAGAGCCAAATGACAGTAAACAAAAGTGCAAATTATAAGAAATTTCAGCTTTTCTTCTTAAACAAAAAGAAAAAATAAAGAAGAAAAACAAATTGGGTTAGTAAGACAGAGACAGAGAGAGAGAGAGAGAGAGAGAGAGAGAGACGAACGAACGAACTAAACAAAACGTAAGACGAACTTAATAAGTAAAATTAACTAGTACTTTCTTTACTTACTAACAAAACGAACAAACTAAATAAATAAAA